CATCACAATCATCATCATCACCACCACCACCCTCATCATCACCATCACCACCACCACCACCATCACCATCACCATCATCATCATCCTCATCAACATCATCCACATCAACATCCACATCAACATCATCCTCATCCTTATCCTCACCATCATCACCATCATCACCATCATCATCATCACCAATGAGGATGCGGTTCAGCGTGATATATCTCTTAAGGGTTCCTGCTTTCTCGAACGCTCGTGGGCAGCGAGGACCGACGGACGACCAACTACACCTCCAGCTCGGGTCTTTCCTGTCGCTCCTCCCCATGCTCCTCCTGTGCCTTCTCATCTTCTCCTCCCCCCTCCTTTTTGTCCTTTGTCGCTCCTTTTCCTACACTTTGCCTCCTCTCTTCAATTTCCAACACAAGGAACACACAAAACCTACCAGACCGTTTTTTAATCAAGTCAGAATGCAAGCAAACTGATGGCGAATTGCATGATGCAATGCAGCGCAGTAGTATATTAAGCTGCGGGCGATCTACCAACCAATGCACGAATCATTGGTCCAACTACTCTAACGAAGTGCTTACTCGGCAGCCTAATCACACGTGAACTAGTCGCCAAGTTGAGCGCCATGTCCGTTGGCACTCAAACGGACTGGTGAGAAAAACGCCTCTGAGAATGCCAAGCAAGACTATTTGACATGAACGGTTCGCGTCCGTACAGTCTAGGCCCCACGAGAAACATGAGCTAAATCCTGAGTTTCGCTGGGGCCACTCCTGCACATCCGCCGGCCCCCTTCGGGGGCAACAAGCTGCAATGCGTTGAAACCCCTGTTCCCTACAACAATAACACTTGAGAAAAACCCCAATCAATGGATGGTTTGATGAATCGTAGGATCGATAAAGAGATCGGTAGGGAGGTCGACCGGAAACCCAGGAACCCGGGAACCCAGAACCCACCGAAATCGGCCCGGAACCAATATCCAGTAACCCGGGAACCCAGAACCGGGAACCCGGGAACCCAGCCAGCTACTAATATCGGCGGGGAACTTTTGCCAAATCTTTCAACATCCGTTAGGACCCCTTCAGTGCAAGCACTGACTGGGGTACTTTAGCTCTCAAATTGCAAATATATTGTTTTCTTTTTCCGCTCCAGTGTTGTAATGGTTGAAATCCGCGCGATGGGGGGAATCCAGCATGGACCCCCCAACCATCCCCGCTGGGGGGGG